AGAGCATTTTTACGAGCAGCCATTTGTCCAGTTGCGACAGCATTTAATTTATTCAATAGAATAGAATTTGTAAGCTGTAAAAGTTTCAGTGGAGCAACAAGCGGCAGCTTCCAGCAATTAGTAAATCATGAGAAAATTATGTACTTTGTGAATGCAGCTCCCCCAAGAGGTTGAGTTCCATTCGGGGCCCATTTGGCAGGCGAAAATTTTAATGCAAACTGTAAATTATTATATACTTAGTTACTCTTTGCCCGACTGCGACTGCAGTTCCTTCGCCAGGCGAAGAAAATTCCCCGTTTTCCACAGGAACCCAGCAGCCCACCCACATCCCATTCAACTGGCGCTCAAAAGGCAGTTTTAGTCATTTCTGGGTTGGCTGCCAGACAATACAGAACTATAAATATGCACAGTCACAGAGCGAGTCACAATCGCAGTCACAGTTGCAATTAAAGTCACAGAACAGAACAGCTGCACAGTGGCACTGAATAATGAAACAGCAATAAATAATTAACGAACCCGGAAATTAATTACTGTGACTATGGGATGTGAGAAACAGTTTTTTACGACAATTTCAGTAAAATGTAATTAAAATTAAATAGTTTCAAGTGTTTTTTTCATAGTCCAAATCATATATTTATTCATATATATATTTATTTACACATATTCAAAACAGATCATTCCATTAAACAGTTGTGCACCTCATTAAATCTGTGTATATTCAAAACAAAATCAAAACTAAATCAAAGCATTTTTTAAATATGATGATTTTTATTTGTTGATTGTTATGCAAACGAAATAAATTACTAAATCAACTTTAGGGTTTTTTAAAAGTATACCAATAAATAATATACAACTTTACACCTCAGTGAATCAGTGAATACTCAAACCCCTATCAAAACTAAATCAAATCATTTTCAAAACTTGATCGCTTTTATTAGTTGATTTTTAAACCCTTACTAAGTGGTTTTTTGGCAATATTCAAGACCCTGTCAGGCACTGTTTCTGCTCATTCACAAGTCGCCTTCGCAATGAAATATTATTTATTTTTTATTTTATTTTAGCTTCTCCGCTGGCTGGGTGTCTCTGGCAGAGCCAGCAAAATGCAAAATTTATTGCAGAAAACTACAAAAAACACACCGAGCGGATGGAAAGTGGGCGGCGGTTGAGTGGTTGGCGGTGGGCGGTGGGGGCGTGGAAAATGTGTTAAGTCTATTGAGTGTATTAAAGCAAATAACTGCGTCGACGAATAAAATACATACGGGACGACGGCAGCGAGGAATCCAAGCCCAAGGCACTTGAGGAGAGGGGGGGGGGGGGTCTGGGGGCGGAAGGCGTGGCAGAGATACTTTATACACACTCACAACGAGACCCACTGACAGCTGCACCGACTCAGACATATGCAAATATGAATATAAATGAACAACGCGATGAAGTCTGAGATCCAATGACTTAGCTTGGGATATATGCAGATAGAGAAACAGCAAGGATATACCTTGCATTTTTATCCAGTGAATAACTGAATGAATACAACTCATTGAATTTTATATCACATAATACATTTGTACGTATTTTCTACATTATTTTATTATTTATTATTTAATGCAGATTGCATTGAATTTCATATTAGATAATACATTTGTACGTATTTTATTTATTATTTTATTACTTGTTATTTAATGAAGATTATATTTTTCACCAGTGAATAACTGAATGAATAGTACTCATTAAATTTCATATCTTATAATTTAGGTATTTTATTAATTATTTTATTATTTATTATTTAATGCAGATTGCATTTTTTACCAGTGAATAACTGAGCGAATATAACTCATTGAATTTCATATCTAATAATACATTTATATGTATTTTATTTATTATTTTATTATTTAATGAAGATTGCATTTTTACCAGTGAATAACTAAATGACTTAAACTTATTGAATTTCATATCAGAAAATACATTTTCACGTATTTAATTTATTATTTTGTTATGTGTTATTTAATGCAGATTCCATTTTTCTCCAGTGAATAACCAAATGAATGGAACTAATTGAATTTTATATCAGATAATATATTTAAAATAATTTTATTTATTGTTTTATTATTTATTATTAAATGCAGATTTGAATTGTATGGCTCTTAACAACTCTGAAATGTTGTTATATGACATCTTCCAGCAATGTCTTAAAGAATTTACTATCCACTGCCTATAACCAGACTAAATGTTAAACTATACAACATTTTAAACCCAAATTTTGTATGTCTCTGCAAAATTGGTACCATTAACACCCTACTTGTTTTTCTCTGTGCATCCAAAGTAGATGGCAAAAAGGGGCGTGTTTGGCGAGGGGTTTCACAGAAAAGTTTATGCTTGGTTAGTTCAACTTGCGGCCAAAACTGAAATCGACACAAGGCAAGCGGAACTACGCCCATAAAACTCGATTGCATTGCTGAGCCAAAGCATTCGAAGTTCGCATTTAATCAATTATGGCAATTTAGCAAATCTCTGGGAATGGCAAAAGCTTAAATTTCGAAACTAAACCATAAATTATGGCAATTTTAATTAGAGCCGGTGTAGTTTAAACGCTTCATTAGATGGCAATCCATTTAATATTCGCATTTAAATTAATTTTAATGTTCATTTCGTTTAATTGATGTGACAAATAGTTGCTCGAGTTGCTTGTGCAAATGGAAGGAGCCCAGAAACAGGAATAGAACCAAGACCAAGACCAAACAGAAACTGAAACAGAAACGGAAACAGCGCCAGAAACAGAAACAGCAACAGAAACAGAACCAGAACGGAAATAAGCAGCTTTTGACTAACGGCAAAATGGAGGCCATAGTAGCCTATACGTGTGTGCTGAACTACATTTGTGTATGTGCTGGTGTGGTAAAAAAGCAAGGCAGAGCAAACAGAGAAGGGCTGAGGGGGTTGCAGGGGGCGGGGAGAAGTGGAGTAACATCTGGCGTTGCCCTGTGCGATTACAAAAACATCAACACTTAATATGTTTATTAAATTTGTTGCTACATCATTAGGCACTAGCAGCCATGTAATGTGAGGCAAACACTTCACATGAGCCCATGTCTCCCTGCCTGTGTGCCTCTGTGTCTCTGTGTGTGTGTGTGGAGTGTGACTGTGTGTGTGTGAGGAGTGTGACTGTGTGTGCTCAGGCTGTGTTTGTGTTGCTGTTACAACTGTACTAAATACCCTATGACCCATAAACTCGACTCGAATAGCTCAAGAAATATGCTAAATATGCGGAGGATTTAGGAATCCTTTCACTTCCAGTTTATTCAAGCAACTAGCGATGATTATCAAACCCAGTTAAGTATATAAAACAAGTAGTGATCTTATAACTTAACCCATTTAAAAGAAACTATGATTGAAATATATTACCATTTTTAAATAAAACAAACAGTTACTATATATTAAAAACCTATTCATTTACCTAAACTACATTTAAGCTTCCCCAAATTGGCTTTCAATGAGTGATTTCATTCCAAACCAAGTGAATACCATTTAAATTTACTTAACTGATTTTGGCGCTAATGAATTTGGTGTCTGTTTGGTATAATTTACCCTGTAATCCAATCAGTTGCGGTTTTTGGCCCACTACTGGCTATTTAACGGGCTATTTACAGACAGAAATCAAAGTTTAGCTAATTGTATTTAATTAAGGAAGCTACCCTGGCAAGATATATGCAGTCAAGAAGGTAACATAGAACTATAGAAATCGTATTATAACCATATTGTCTGGTATTTATATTTATAAGGTATATTTATAACAAAGCAATATGTTTGATTGAATAGAAAAACTAGGTTTTTCCAATTCATTGTAAAACTTTTCCTATTAATAAAGTTAAGACTTCAAGGGCATCTGAGGTTCGTGGGTTGGGAAAGACCATGTTTTTGTTGGCTGTGCCAATGCCCTGTACTCTCTCACAGATACTCACCCACACAGCGACGTTTGGCGATGTGTTGGTGCGTTGCTCTGGGCTACTTTGCATGGGCTTAACGATTGTTGTTTAGGTGCAGTTTCAGTTACTGTTGCCGTCACAGTCGCAGTTACAGTAACTGTTCCAGCTGCAGTTACAGTCACAGTTGCTCAAACAGAAAAAATAGCAAAAATGGCTGAGGGGGAGGGGGGAGGGGGGGGAATGCTGGTTGAAGCTTTAATAAAAAATTTGCAATGCATACTTTCTGAAAGTGTGGCCTTTCACAAGTAAAAAGCGCTCGTGTTCTCGGTTTTTCTCACATTGGAGATTTTATCGAAATTTTAGAACTCTGTTTTTGAAAACCGAAAATCTAATGAACAGGCCTTATAAACAGGCCTGTTCTGACATATAATTTTGAAAAATTTTGAACTTCGATTTGATTTTCAATCTATTTACAATGCATCTTGGAAACATGCTGGCTAATAATGTTTTATCCCCTTATATAAGAAATAAGTAAATTATTTAAATACTGTTTTCTAAGGGGAAAAGTTGTAAGTCAGCTGAGCATTAAAATTTGTACAAATCGACTTCGAGTAAAGTAGACTTAATTTCTCCACCTTTAAAAGGTTTTAAAATACATAATAAATTTGTGGAAATAAAATGTATGTACTAAAGCCTAATTAAAAACGACTCATGGAAGTGAAAATGGGAAAGCGTCTGCTTGTCTAAATACAAACCCACATGCACGAAATTTTAAGTACAACGTACTTCCATATATATTATATATATTTACCTTTACAAATGTATGCTTTACCTGTGCTCCCATGTTGTGCTTTTCCTGGCTTTTAGTTTCTGTCCCGCGAAAAGTTATGCGCATTATTAAAAAAAAAAAACAAAAAAAAAACAAGCCACCCGCTGCATAAATTTTAATGCTCATGATTATTATTCTCATACTAAAATGTAATGCTGCCATCCGAAAATGGCAAGCATATAGAAATATCTATATAGAGGGCCACTCGAACTGCACACTCAGGTGATTTCCATTTCCCTTTCATTTCCTTGCAGCTTCTGCCGCCAGTGAGCTAATCGCAAATCGCTCGACGCCCACGGACGAATCGGTGGCAAAGCCCCATCCCCCCGGCGACCTTCCATCGAATTCGACCCCTGCCACGCCCCCCAAATTCACCAGCCCCTTTCGGGAGGCGGATGTCGCGGAGGGGGAGGCGGAGGTCGACTGGGGGGCGAGGCAGCATCCGCTGACCATTTCCCGGCCGCCGAGAGCGGGACGCAGCGAGCGGCAGGCGGAGGAGGATCAGGTGGACCGCTGCCGGCTGTTCGTCGAGGGGGATCCCACCAAGAACGAGCTCTACAGCCCCGAGTATCCCAACCTCTATCCGAAGAACATCAACTGCACCAGGGTGATAACAGGTGAGTCCTTGGCGAGTTACTATCTATATACATTTGGGGTAAATCAAGGGAGTTCTGAATAATAAATATTCATTTCAGGAAAAAATACAAAGTCTATTGATTTTATTCATACCATTCACCCATTTGTCCGACCTTAAAGCTCAAAGCAATTTAACTGAGCAAACACTTTGATTGACCCACTAAAAATGTAGGATGTTTAGTTTTCTGTTCCATTTGAGTCTTGAAAATTGTAGGCAGTTAGGTGAAAATAAATAAATAATAAAAGTAATGGCTAAAATGTACTATATGGATAGTTAGGAAACTATAAAAAAGGTTAAAAACTATTCAAAATAGCTACTATTAAATGATAAACCTTCCTTAAAATAGTTAGTTGCGTTTACTTTGTTCTTTTGAGAGTAACTATTTCCTTGGCTAAATTGCCAATTCAATGGCTTGGACCAATTCAGCTATTATGTTGGTCAATTTGATTTGATTTCTTTGTGTGTATATAGAGCATGACAAATCCATGTAATGTATTATTCAAAGGCGTCTTAAGAGAATGTCTGGCAAAATCATTAACCAGGTATCCGAAAGAAGCGAGAGTATACCTGATACAAGATTGTATTCATGGCACTCACTGAAACTCATTCCCGTGGATTATCTACGGCCGAGTAATTAACAATCAGACTGGCAGAATCCAGCAGTATCGGTGGCATTATCTGTATCTGTATCTGTGTTCCGCAGTTACAAAGACAAATACGAACTTTGATGGAAGCCAATTGGCAGCCGGCTTCCTGTTCGCGAGTGTGGGAGTTAGTGTGCACTGAGAGAAATGAGAGCAGAGGTCTTCGCTCTATACAGGAAAGATTAAAGACTATTGGAGAAATCAATTTTTGATTATAGTAAGGGGCTTCTTGACCCAGAACTTCTCTTTCAAAAACTGTTTCGGTTGATGGCATATCATGTTGTAGGTGACCCCAGATCAGATTGACACCTTTTTCCTTTGTCTGTAATTCGAGTGGAGTGCAGGCCTCGTAAAAGTTTATATGGCAAGCACTTGGCGACGAGCGAGCTACTGCAAATAATTGCAAAGTCTTTGGCCAAGTCTTGGCAGCCACTGCTGTTGACATTACCAGATGTCAGTCAGTAAGTCAGTCAGTCATTCGGGTGAGTGGGAAGGGGAAGCCGGAGGAGGAGGAGGACGAGATGGGGCGGAGTGAACCAGTGAACCGGAGGCATTAGATGGCGCTGATGCGTAAGATGCTCCACACAGATTCCACATGGCAGGGCCGTTTTGTGTGGCCCATTTAAAAGCGTTAGCGCGTTGGCTCTCCAAACTCCATTGCCAGTCCTCAGTTCTCAGCTCTCAGTCTCCCAGTATCCCAGTTTCCAGTTTCCATTTCCCCGGGCTCCATAATACGATCCCTCGATTGGGGGATTGGTTTGTGTGTGTACCGAGGCCCTGGCCGGGTTGTCATCATATTTGAGCTGCACTCGCTTCAGTGCCTCCGCCACCGCAGAAAACTGGGTAACTCGCAGTCAACTCCAATGCTTATCTAAAGTCGCTCGGAGGCCAAATCATTTGTCAGTTAAGACAAAATAATGTCACTGCAAAAGTCAAGAGCTGACAGATAAAACCTGAAAGCGAATGATTGACTTTCCATAAGCACGCATCAGCGGTCCCAGTGTATCTGTATCTGCGGATATGTCAGCATATGTAGCCCTTCTTTGCCCCAGTCGATGCCATATTTGTGTGCTTAGCATTACGAGTTCGAGTACGAGAACGAGTACGGGTTCGAGTTTGAGTTTGAGTTTGAGTACTGGGGAGGGGGGGCTATCGGCTTATTTGCATATCAATGTGTGTGCGACCCAGACCTCCCTCCATGTTAATGTCGGACTGAGCGGGCCAACAGAGGCAGCCAGCTGAGGTTCGCTTTATGGCCAAGATGGGCGTCCCGCAGGGCACACAAATGCCACAAGGAATTGCGGGCATAAAAGTCCTGCGGTCGGGGATTCGAAAGTTCAAAGTTATTCCGAAAACAACAGAGTCGAAGTCGGGGAGTCGAAGTCTGAGTTTATTTTTATATTTCTAAGAGAGCTTATATTCGCATGCACTTCGCTTTATAACTACAATAAAGGTCCTGTGCAGACCACTGTGGCGAATACGCAATGTGGGATTACAAATGAATTCACCGGAATGAAGTACATATCATCTTGAAGTACCTCAAACAAAGTACGTTATTGTTTGTTTAGCTTGAGTTTCTAGGAATTTTTATGTTAGTTAGCGGATTAGTATTCCACCCAATTAGTCTTATTATTATCCACTGTTCAGTTTTGGCAACTAAATTCCAAAAGCCACTGTGGCGTATACGCAATGTGGGATTACAACTGAATTCACCGGAATGAAGTATCATTTTGAAGTACCTCAAACAACTTTGAATTTCTAGGAATTTTTCTGTTAGATAGCTGATTAATATACCACCCAATTAGTCTCATTATTCGCCACTGTTCTGTTTTGGTAAATGAATTCCAATGACTCCCAATGACCACAGTGGCGTATACGCAATATGGGATTACAACTGAAATCACTGGAATGAAATGAAATGAAATTAAAGTACCTCAAACAAAGGAAATTTCTAGGAATTTTTCTGTTAGTTAACTGACTAATATCCCACCCAATTAGTCTCATTATTCTCCACTTTTCAGTTTTGATAACTAAATTCCAATGACCAATGTGGCATATACGCAATGTGGGATTACAAATGAATTCACCAAAATGAAGTATCATCTTGAAATACCTCAAACAAAGGACGTTAGTTTTTGGTTTAGTTGGAATTTCTAGGAATTTTCTGTTGGTTAGCTGACTAAAATCCTACCCAATTAGTCTCGTTATTCTGCACTGTTCAATTTTGGTAACTAAATTCCGATGACTTTCGCAAGGCTGTCAATCAATGCAGTTTTCCCATTGTGGAACTGCCAAATGATAAACAATGTTACCCCGAAACCGAAAACTAATCATCCGAAATGGGGGCTTATGATCTCAATTTTCGAAATTCCCCCCATTGTAAAGGTATGAAAAGCTGGCAAAAATTCTGTACAATGTGTAATTATTCGGGGCTCTTTTTTGTGCAGCCCTTATGACAGTCATCAATTGGCCAGATTCGACAGCAGGGCTCAGTAATTAGATTTTTACCATGGGGTTGGGGGATCGGGTATTGGGGAAGGACTGCAAGTGCAGTCCCAGAACTCTCGATTGCCTGGGGACTTTGTAATTTGATAACGCCACGAATACAGCCCCATATGTGTCAGTCCTGTCAGGAGTCTGTATTTTTTCAAGGCCAATCAATGTGGAATTCTATTCCATTTGAAGACCTCTCCCCCCTTTCTCCGCCTGTCTGTGATTCCAACTTTCATTACTTGTCCATCTCCATTATGTAATGTGTGTGTGTGTACGAGTGGTTGTGTGGGTTTTAACGCCCTGGCAATCGCTGCTGTGTGAGTGAGTGTGTGTGTGTTGTTATGCCACATTGGCCACAAAGGTTCCATTCGAGGAAAGCCGGGGGAAAATGTATTTTCAAATGCCACAGCCAGCCCACCGCCATTGATTCATGCCAAGGATTCGCCGGTTGAATATGTATGGCCCGCAATGCGAGTGTGAATGAATGGTTGAATGAATGAATGAATGAATGAGGGAATGAACGAGTGTGGGTGTGTGTCCAGCATCTTGATGCCTTCTCCTTTTTATGCGACCACTAAATGAGTCCCCAGACGCTTTCATTTTGGCCATAGATACGAGATTGGGTCCTGCCTTCTCACTTTTTCATGCCCCTGAAAGTTGGCCCTACTCTGCGCCAAAAGGTCCTGGTTATGGCCGGATCATTGAGATGCGGAAATTTTCACAGATATTTTTATTAGCCAGCCGGATGTTTAGGTAACCAAATTATGGGTCCATTTGAGCGCCTGGAATTCAGTGAAGTATAACTTAAAAGGTGAGAGTAGGCCTTGATTATGTGAAGGGATAAAATGTGTGCGTTTTTTTGACAGCCAAAACGCCTGAATTAAAAACTTTTAGAAGTAATATCAGTTATTATGAAGCAGTATTTACGATGCCACATGAAAAATCTTAAAAAGACCTCATATCATGTCACTATTTTAGTTTGTAGAGGGCATCACAGCCTCGGCATGCCGAAGTTCCACCAACCATGCACATTATCCCCTCAAAGTCCGAGGTGCTGAGGTGAGCTGTTGTTAATCAGTTTCTCGGCTCGGGGCCATTTTACTTGGTGTAAGCTTGGGAGCTCTGAGGGATCTGGCCACCTGGTGGCAGTTGGGTCAAGTGCCATGGTTACCATGGAATGATAAAGTATATATATTTGCGGTCTAACGTGTTGCCTTTGTCCCTTTCTCCACTTCTCTGTCCTGCAAATGCCGGCATCTAATTACAGCGCCAAAGGGACAAATCATACGCCTGGACTTTCGCAACTCGTTTAATATCGAGGCCAAGGAGGAGTGCAAATTTGATTTTCTAGAAGTAAGTACTGGTAGCTGGCAAATGCACAGAGACATCATTTGCTTGCAAAAATATGTAATAAATATTTATGGGCTTAATAAACTATTTGTAACTATTTCAAGTACATAAAATTTCAAAGTTTCACTTATTTCAATCAGTTAATAATTACAGTACTATTAATATTATAGGTTAAATAGCCATAATTTTTGGTTCTATAATTTTTTTAAAATTCCCATTGATCCATTCTTTTTCTCCTGGTGCAAAAAAACCCGACATAACCAACTTATAAAGGGCCAAGGCATAAAAAAGACCAACTTTGTTGCATGCTGAAGCCGGGCATAAAAAAGGGGCGAAACAAAAACTTGCTTAGTTGCTCGGCTTTTCTCGGTCTTGGCCGGACTTGCAAAGTTTTCGATTTGTTTCCTTTACGACTTTTCCTTGTTACTTCGGCCTTTGCCGCTGCCACTTCTACTGCCACTGCCACTGCCTTTTTTGCACCGAAAAATGGCAAGTTTTAATTGAATGTTGTCTCTGCTGCAAGACGTAAGCCTGATTTGAATGCAGCGCCCAGCCAAAGCGGTTTAGCCATGGCAGACTGCCGCCCAGGGAGGTGGTTTTGGGGGCTTAGGGGCTAAGCCTTACTAACGAGCCGAATCCTTACTTCCAGATACGGGATGGGCAGTACGGCTTCTCCACGCTGATCGGCAAGTTCTGCGGCACCGACTTCCCGCCAGAGATCACCTCCAAGGAGCGCTACCTGTGGCTGCACTTCCACTCCGACGAGACCATCGAGTATACCGGGTTCAGTGCCGTCTATGAGTATCTGGACAGGAACCGGGAGGCCCCGAGCACCGATCTCAACTGCACCATCGAGAAGGGCGGCTTTGAGGGGTTCATCAACTCCACGGACGTGCCGGCGGAGATCCGGGAGCAGGTCAACCACAACAAGATCGCCCTCGACTGCATCTGGCGCATCCAGGTCAAGGAGAACTGGAAGGTAATGGTCGATTATCTAGATCGAATAGGTCGATTAGTAAGGAAATATTTAAGTAAATAATGCTATTGATTTTCTTGTTACTACAATCCCTGCAATATATTTTTAAATACCTCTAAAAATGCGCCTAAAAGTCTGCTCTTAATTTCTGTTTATGAGATAAACCACATTTTAACAGCACATTTTAAATTATTTTTATTTTTTGGTTTTAAAGTAGGCTTTTTTTTCTTTTCTCTAAGAAAAAACGTATGTTCTTAATTATCTCCAGTATTTTTAAAACCGTTTTCAATATTATCTTAATTTCTTCCGGATACGCAAAATAATTTATACTGCTCTTCTAGATAATCCTAAATTATCTCCAGTATTTTTAAGACGGTTTCGATTATCATCCTAAAATTTTAAAGGATACACAAATCTATTTAAAAAAGATAAATGAAGTTTCTAGCAACACAAATGCTTTTAATTACATTCAACAACTGCTCTTCTTCCCTTTCAATAGATATTCCTAAATTATCTCTCGTATTTTTAAGACCGTTTCGATCATCATCTTAAAATTCTTAAGGATACACAAATAAATTTAGACTAGATTAATATCTTTTAATTTTATTCAAAAACTGCTCTTCTGTCCTTTCAAAATATATTACTAAATTATTTCCAGGGTTTTTTAACCCCTTTGATTATCATCACCAAGTCATTCGAATGCACAATTTCATTTAGACTAAATAAATAAATCTTCCAGCAACCCAATCGCCTTGAATTTCATTCCTTTACTGCTCTTCCTTCCTCTCAATAGATATTCCTCAAGTTTCTGGACTTCAAGCTGAGCAAACCGAACGATTGCGATACCAACTTCCTGGATATATTTCCCGAGCAGACGGTGATGCCACTCAGGTGAGGTCCTTCAAAACGCGGCTTAATCACATTTCGTCGAGCCGTGGAGTGGTGATGAAATTGCCATCGCTAGGCGGCAACGTAGAATGCAGTCGCTGGCGTATGCGTAATATCGGTGGCGTATACGCAATGCCGCAAACCAATTTCCGCAGTGCCGAAAATGCGAGATCAAAGCCAGCGTGCCGGGGCCAAGGCAAATTTTCAATTTATTACCGGCCAAAAGTAAATTGTACGCGAGCGGAAGTGCCGGCGTCGCCTTTGACTCGCGCAACCAATCTACTCCTCGTCCTGCGACCTCCGACCTGCGACCTGCGACCTTTTCCCAGGAAGTAACGAGTATTTCGCCATCTCCTGGTTGACTGACTGGCGGACTGAAGGACTGACGGATTGAAGGACCAAAGGACTCGCCACGGCATCTTCGACACGCATTGACATCCGCTTTTAACGCGCCAATACATTTCCACTTGTTGCCGCTGCTCGGGACAACACTCAAATTGATTGACTGGCGTCCCCAGCACTCGGCTCTTGGAAAATGGCAAATGGAAAGCGGAAAATTCTGTGGGTGGCCGGGGCCCGCTTTCCCCTGTCTTTTTAGCCATTGATTTGATGCCTTTGTCGCTTTCATTTAAATTCATTTTTCGTAACAATTTATCGCACACGACGGGTGGCCATCCATATACAGTCAGCCACAGCCCTTCTTCTTCCACAATCAGATTTTTGGAGAAAACTCCATCCAAGGCGTTTTAGGCGTTGAAATATCGTAAGGAAAATATACCCGGGGCCACAGACAGACGAAATGAACATAAATATAATATTCAGTGAACGTCATTATTTAAGCCATATTATAAATTATTTATTTATCGATTATGTGTGCATGCCATCGATGGCCAAATATTTAACAAATGGCAGATATATTGCCCAGGGTGTGGAGACGGAATCGTTGACTGCAAGTTAAGGCCTTTATTTGTGGCGAAATGTTTTGGCACAGTAACAGGATTTGCTACAATAGATCATATCAATAATATGATAATTAATTACCCAGTCATCGGGCCGATACGTAGATGATTTTAACAATTTATTTATCGTTGACCAATTTGCTGCTTATTTGAATTAATGCAAACGGTTTTCTATTAGCATTCATTTGGGTAAATTTTAAACTGGCTATTTAAATCGTCTGTGTCCCATTTACAAATTCGTAGTTAAGGGTTATTCAATTTTAGAGCCAAAAGATTCTGTTGCTAGCATTTAAGTATGAGAAAATTTAAGTACGACAGAAGGGTAAGAACCGTTCTTATTTTGTATTCTATTTTCTGATAAACTAGTCACCAAGGAATCATTTTACTAGTAAAGGAACGTTTTTTAACACTTATACACATAATAAAGAGTCTTATTTGATATATAGTAGGTTCTAAAGTGCGAGCAAGAACCCAAAAAGTTAGGATGATTCAAAAAAGCTACAAAAATTCAAGAGGTGCAGGGATAAATCGCATTTTTAATGGTAGAAGCATAAAAACCGAAATGAATTTGATTTAATTAATTTGATTACTTCCATTCAAAGAAGGCCTAATTTTGTAAGATGGTGTTACTTACTTTCTCCTTCTGGCTGCCTTATTGAAATCATTTTGACCGCATTATCACCCTGGTTACCACCCATTTAACCGGTTTTTCCTTCCAGGGTTAAGAACTTTTGCGGTTCGGCTGGCGAGAGTATTACGGCTGACTCGAACATCCTGCACTTGCGCTTCTACGCAGATCAAATCGCGATTAACTCGACATTCGGCATCCTATTCACGGCGTTCCGGGACCGAGGAGCTGGTAAGTCCAATTCCTGCTCCGATTCCAAGTCGCCAGATTCCCTTTGATGGCGTCGGCAAATCCCTTGAATTGGCAACAAATGGCTGGGGCGCAAAGTACAAAGGCATGGCCAAAATCCTGGGGGCAATCCGGTGCTAAGCCGGCCTCGAATCCCCTTTCGGCTGCTCATTTGGGCAGTCGGAGATGGAGATGGAGATGGAGTCGCTTGTCTAACCAACTATCTCCAAAGGGGGGGAGCACCATATCCCTATCTATCTGTCTTTCCAAATGTCGGAATGTCTGAATGTCTGAAGGAAAAACAGGAGGCGGAGGTCCTGCGTGATTGCCGCCAGTTGCCGGAGGCAAAAGGCTAAGCACTCTTTTGTCATTCAACGATTGTCCTTTGTCCCCGGGCCAGCATTGTTTACTTTTAGGCAGCCGGGCATCCAGGCAGCCAGGCAACTAGAGACCTGCCCCCAAATCTCCAGGACCTTCGGCACCAGCTCCTTCTGCTCGAGAAGCTCCCATTCCCGCTCCAATTCCAGTTTTTGGTCCTACCCATGGCCCACGCTCCTTGGGCTTCATCTACTTCAACTGCCAGCATCGGCAATTATTGTTGTTGGCTGAGCGATTTATGTCGGAGATTACGTGCATTTGCTTTGTGGTCTCGCCCATCGTCGCCTTTCAATGGCTGCACTGTGGAAAGTCCATCAATTTAAGGCTCACAATTGATCGGAGCTTTAAGTCAAATTGAATTGACATTCAATTTAATGTCGAATCGAATTCGGTTCGCTTCTCTATGGCCGGGAAAATTCAATTGCGAATAAAATAAAATTTACTTGGCGCTCAAAACCTACTCAAAGCTAAACTTTATGTTGCCAAAGAGAAATAGAAAAATTAATGGAGTGTTCCTAAAAAAAATTTCACTTAAAATGTATATTCATTATTCATTAAAATCTAATCAATTTTATATTCATTTATGATAAAAGCATTACAAAACACTTCAAAAATAATAAATGTGAAAGATATTTGATCCTGTTTCAAATAAAACTCAGTTGTTCCTTTGCTTTTCGTTCCAAATCAACTTAAAACAAGTAAAAATACAGGCTATACCATTTTTGTAAAAGCAAACCGCAGCGATATTGACAAAGAAAATATTGATCTGTGTGCGGCAATATTTTGTCAAATACTCAATCGTCCTGCCACATCAATAAAATCCATATTGAATTGTCTGCCGAATGGCCTTCGAATGACAATATACATTTTATGCAGCCGTTTTACACTCCAATCCAGTGGAGAGCACTTTCAATTGAAGTCAATTGTCCATTCCACTGTGCGATTTGTGCTTTGATTGGCGTTTTAGCCATTTTAGCCATTTTAGCCGCTTCTCTCGTCCTCTCACTTTAACTGCCATTTTGTGCCAAATTTTTTACAACTTTCTCTAACTCCCAAACTTTCGCCCCTTCCCCATTCGCAGCCTGCACCGAGGACGAGTACGATTGCGAGGACGCGACCTGCATATCAAAGGATTTGAAATGTAATAGCCAGGACAATTGTAAATTTCGATGGGACGAGGAGGGCTGTACGGTAAGTGACACGCCTATACAGAGAGACACAATTGTGGCAAGATTGTGTGAGCTTAAAATCGCAATAACCTCCCACTTATTCTTATTTTTATTCCTAAGATTTCCAAAAATGTCAATAGAACATTAATAATGTCAATCGACCTCATGTTAAACTAAAAGTAGGTTTATCCCTAGAAAACATATGCAAATTTGGAGCTTAAAATGTGGTTTTAGTTTAACACGAAGACCAGATAACGCCCAAATATTACTATTTTTTAAAGCTCCTTAAATATAGTTTTTATCTTATCTATAACTAAGAAAATCGCATATTTAGATTTATTACGATCAAGATATATCTAGTTTTGATGCTAAAAAATACATTAAAGCTTTAATGATTTAAATATAACTGCTTAATTTTAACTAGAAAACATAACACTTATATATTTTCTTAGAAGAAATATGAAAATCTAAAGGAAACCATTTGAGAAAATGTTCCATTAATTTAAGTATCTGTTAATGTTTGTAAATTTTTTATAAGTCTACTTGGAAACTGGCATAAATTTCCGAGATTCCAGCAGAAAGCAGTGCAATATGTTTTAAAGAACTATTTTCTCTCAGTGCATCGGCACACACAAAACTGGGCCGTTTGTACGTGCATCTAATTATAGGCCAGTTTCAAACCGGCATGGCTCCCCATCCCCCTCCCCATCCCCAACCCCTGACCTCGTGACCCCTGAACCCCTGATCCCCCCCTCCGTAGCCCGCTGCCACCCCGCTCATTATAAGTATGCTCGACACGCCGATGATGGCAACACCCAAAAACACTCACGTACACACGCTAACACACACTCCTGCACCGGCACAAACACAAACAAAGTTGGTCAAATAAGTTTTGTTTGGGAAAGTTTGAGGTTTGTGTTACAGGAAGGCCTTGCTGTTGTTGTTGCCGTTGTTGTGGTTGTTCTTCACGGGGCTTGTTCGTTAGCCGTAAATAACAGTTATTTGCTGGGCATCCCCCAGCAGCGTAGAAGTTGAACATCAGCGCATTAGATCATTAGATTTGATAAAGTCAGCGAGCTCAAGTTACCCGCCCCACCAACATCTCGGGGAATGATTCACGCAGCGCCATCTAAGCCACTTTCTACTTACTGCTTTCTTCTTACCACTACCACTACCAAAAGCGAAAGTGAGGTTGTAAGTCCCTTGTAAAAATCCTCCCTATTCGTGACATTCTCGAATTACAGGCATTACAACTTCCTTAGTCACAATGACTGTATTAACTCAACCCGTAATAGAGCAAATGGAACTTTTAAATTTTTAGTGTTATTATAATACAAGTAGTATTCAAAAGTATTAAAAATGTAGAAAGCAAGTGAGCTTTGGCTTAGAAAATTACTTAACATTACAGATACCATTAAAAACGTATATTGTAAACCGTAAATTGTATATACATAGACCCATTTTTATTGTGGCACCTTTATGCTTCATTCGTCGATTTTTTTTAAGACTACATTTCTTTTAAGTTGTATAAAAATTTAACTTTTAAGCTTTTATTTAACCGATAGTAGAATACTCTAGCAAACCCATATCATAGAATCAAAATCGTGCGTATATTACAGGAACTGTATATATGTTTCAGATTTATACCATAAATAAATATACCTATAGTTTTTAAAAAAGCTATGTTATAAAGGCCTTTGGTTAAACTACTTAACGGTTAACTTGTAGGGTAAATCATCTTCGGCTAGCCGAAGCTAACATTCTTTCTGGTCCTTATCCATTTTATACTAATCAATTTTGTATGATTAGCATTTGAGTTTTTTTGTTAATATTTAAAGGTATACGAATTATATATATAATATTCATTTAAATCAATAAGTTGATAGGAAAAGTTGCCATAAAGAAAACTAAAAGTGAAGAAAACCAAAATGGCCAAAAACCGGAATGACTTAGAAATCTCTTTCAACCAAAGACAGCTGAAATTTGTATTAATGTAATTCAATTTCGACCAAACTTGGAAGGGATCTCTATGTCACAGCGGCTTCCGTAAAATTCGCCGAGTAATTTATGATTTGCAAATGTAATAATATTAAATAAAATCAAAATCAAATAATCCGATTACAATCACACATTATTGGAAAGGAAACTATTCAATGAATTATTTAAGCTCTACCCACCTCTATTCATATGCACATTTTGTAAAAGAGTATCAAGCATAAAGGATATCATTTTCTATTGACAAAAACCGACGAAAAACTCCCTTTAAGCCACGGCCGTCGAATAATCTTTGCCATGAACTATGGAAAATACCACTGGCCAAAGCAAACACATTTACAGAAATTCTGTTATTTAATTTTGTCAAAAATTTCGCACCGCATTAGCCAATGTAGTTTGCATACCATTCAATATCTTGCCCAATTAAAGCGAATTGATATTAGGTTTTGCAAAATGTGTTCATAATTATTCCTAATTCTATACGTTTTGCGATGTGAGGGCCATGTGAGGCCATTTGCATTGGAATTTTTAGCCATTCGATACCCAATTGGTTGATTTTGGTTTATGGTCACTAATTTGCTCAAACGATATCATATGTATGTGTGCGAGGACAGGCTTCAATCAAATGCTCAATCATGCGCATGCACAAGTTATGTTTATTTAATTGGCCGACATTAAAATGGGTCCAAAATATTTGCTGTGTTTACTGGGCGCGTATAATTTATGAGGACAGAATGTTGGCCAAAAATTGTCATAAAATCCGGAACAAATATGTTGGGCCCTCGAAGTTGTGAACGGAATCAAAAGAATCAAATGCTTGACACATTTTTTTACAACCTATATATAATTTTCCCTTTAAGAGCCACACTCGTTGATAATAAAATTTGTTGCACTAGGAATTCCTATTAATATATGTATAAATATATACCCATATTTTCATAAATATTTCGAATTGAAAGAAAGAATGCTCAATTAAATCACAGCTCCGCTTGTAAGCTAATTTACTCCCTGCCACAGCCAATAGTCATTAGTTGGCTATTGGCAACGTACACGAACACTCAATTAAGTGTCGAATCGAACCCACACTTTGATTATTTTGATTCGAGCCTTGGCCAACGGCTTGGTAATTTGATAATGCAATTAAAATGGCAATTAAACCGGAAATACCGTGTCTTTTGCAGGGCGAGGCGGCTGGCCAATCGGAGCATGTGGTCATCATTGTGATTGTGTTTGGCCTGATACTCGGCGGAATGGTCATTACGTTCATCGTCAATTGCATACGCAAGATAATACGTGATCAGAAGATAATACGCGTAAGTATTGCCAACTTTTACGCCCCCATTCGTATACCCATGAAACTTTAGTCTGTGCCCGCGCGTGTCCCCCCATAAAATACCGCCACCCCCCAGAAACCACCCAAAAAACCACCCACACCCCCGCCTGCCGCTCTCTCTCTCTATCTCTCTTATATATATATACATATCTGTCTCTCTGTCTCGCTCGTTGTGTGCTTGAACCACCCACCACCCCGAAAACCCCCTAGAATAGTCTCCTAAATGTGGCCACCGCAGGACAGCAAGAATTTATTTCCACACATATATCCACTCTTTTTGTTTGGTTCCATTAGATATGTTGCCAAAAAATATTCGACTGCATTTCAAATGCACGCTAACCGAACTCTCACACAGGAATTGCAACACGAATTCGAACAACAGTGTCCGAAATAATAGTATGTGCATGTTTTTGGAAACGCCAATGAAAATACCATTTTAGTGTGGCCTAATTGACCACGGTTTTTGAAGTGCTTATGGATGAAAATCATATTTTGAGTTTCGGGCTAATCTATTGGATTGCTTTACAAGGGATTTCCAAAAATTATGTGCAATTTCCATATTATGCTATAAGTTATCCTTTATGTTATGTTGATCTATAAAAATTAAACACAATTCGGAAACCCACATCAATGGGTTAAAAATGGTTATAATTTTAAGTAATAAATCAAATTCCTTACTATTATTGCGGTCACATCCGTGGTAGAATGTAAAATCAAATCTGTGTGTGAAGCTTTGACGTTGGGTTTTTTTTTCGGGTCAGCGAAAAATATTTCAACAATCATTTGCACTCTCTTAAAGAGCCCATTCAGAGAAGTGGGCTCGATTGTTAATAATTTACCGGAACAGTGTAAATTGGAGGGGCTTACACTCGACTTAACATGCACTGACCAGGCATGTGTATAATTATATATGAAGAGTGCCCTGCGTATATGACAAACTCGTTTTGCATATGTAAACATAATTTGCATTGACTGCGCTGACTGTTTGACAACTGAATCTGATTTGGCTTTGGCATGCGAGTGGAAATGCCAATGGAAATGGCAATGGCAATGGCATTGGCATCCCCAGGATCCCGGGGACACAAATGGGATCTCGAGCAGAAATCGCCCAATATAATGACTCTGCACGGGGGCTCTACGAATGACAATTGGCATAACTGACAATTAGGCGATGGATTAAACTAAGCCGCGTTTGTATTGCATTTGGGCCTTAATTAAAGGTGCGATCTGAATGGGGCTGCAAAGCGGCCACTTGACTCCGCGGTAGTTGAACTCAAAAGGTCAGGCCACAGTTTGTTTTTGTTGTATAAGCACACAATTAGCATTGACTCCCCCACAAATAGATGTTGCCTTATGCATATGTCTATAGAGCTCTATAAAAGAAAAACCTGTTGGCATAAGTTTACGAAAAGTATGAGAGGATTGTAAGCCATACTCGAAGGTGGGGGACTCTTGGAAAAATTGTTTTTCCCCAAGAAACTGCTTTAATTTTTTTTAAACGACTTTCAACCAAAACAATGAATAAAATCATCAGAAATATCAGAGACACTCGGTATTTTTTGGAAAAACTTTTGGTATTTTTGAGCAGGAGTACCTAAATAAATGATCTTAAACAATTTTTCCTAAAAAATATCTTATCTAAGTATTGATTTTTATTAGCTCTAATAATAAGATAACGAATTTATTAAGCAATAAATTAACAATGTTTTTTTACTATATAGATATTGAAGAAAGTAAAATTAAGAAGATATAAAAAAACGTTATTCTATATTTTAAGCATCTATACTTTCGATGAATATGCAACTAATTGGCCAGAAGCTGGTATTTTATTGTGGTTTAAAAATATGATGTTAGTTTATTAATTTTATTCCTCTTAAAAAAATATATTCCAAAACTTTAGCTAGACTATTAATAATTTGTTGTACCCTTTGCCTTATCTAGGTACAATAAAATAGTACCTTTTCCAACACTGTTTTTAAAAGCATAGTGAGTGTATTTTATTACTTCTAGAGGACCCAATTAAACCATTTTCAAAAGCGTGTCTTAGTGCAGATTATTATTTCCCAGGCACGATTCGCTACCAAATTTCCGATCCATTTAGCAAGATATTCATAAATTAGCGCAGCACATCAACGAAGTGACGCATGTCACTCGGCGCCTGATTGCCATTAATTATTAATGGCGATTGTTCACGAACTGCAGGCCCCATCACATCATCAAATCATAACTGGAGAACTCGAACGGTTGGATTTTGATTTTAATTAGCGAAAGTCAAAATGTGGCAACTTAAATCGATGGCCCAGCAAATGTGGCAAGTGCGTTAAAGCCGAACTGGTTCGGGTTAGGGGTTTAAAAGAGGGCTTCCATCGACATTAGTAAAACAATAATACGCAGCGTGATAGGAATCTTGTCGCCTTGTCTGATGCGGAAATGTGCGCGCGGGCGGGCGAGCACTTTTCTCACGCACTGTCTGCTGCCTGGAATTTAATAGACATGCAGGGCCCCTTTCTCCATCGGCGCATGGAACGGCTCCCGGCAATTCTAATGTCGTCTGACACTTTGAAATGTAAAATAGACTTTGACTCTGAGCCCGAGGTGGTTGCGCTCCGTTCCCAATCCACTCCAATCCGCTTCGATGTAACCCAAGCCCGGCATCCCACACAAACCCGAGTTGACTAATCAATACAAATGAAATTTGTCAGTTGAATGAGCAAAGTACGGTGTCACTGGAGCCGTTTCCTTTTCACTCAAATTTGTTTCTTTCGTCTTGCCATTTTTCTGAATTGAAAGAAAAAGCTTGGTTGCAATCTCCAGCTCGTAACATTACCTTGATATTCTATCAGAATACGTATATTACGTGAGGAGAACAGAACACTTGCCAAGTATTCGTTTTTTGAAAAACATTTACCTATTGATATTTAATGAAATTTTTAAGGCTTTTCTCAATTTAAAGCCGGATTATCAAGTACCTTTCAAAGACCCTGATAGCTATCTGTCCAAAAAAGTTAAGGACTAGATAAACATGTGGAAAAGGCAAGTCTGTCCTATAGACTCCTTCAATTTATCTAAACCAGAAACAATGTCAAAGTGCTGTCAATCACAGAATTGAGCAGTAAAACTGTGTCGCTTTTGATTATTGCATCAACTGCTAAGGTTTTGTTTATGTTCAAGATTAGAACAACAGACTAAACAGGAAGTATAGCACGATATTTTAATGTCATGTTAAGATTCTAGTTTCTTATCTGACAGAAGAATTAACATGAAGATAAAGTGTTTGGAAATATGATATATGATGTTTATTTAATTTAGTGTTGTCACTCGATTAAGTGGAAAATTCGGTTTACTAAGTCACTTAACGTTTTCGAAATAGCAAATTAACTCAACGACAAAAGTTAACATGACATTGAGATATCGGCCCTACGAGTCCCTGTTAAATATAGTTCTTAAATTGGCGAGAGAGAAACCCACTTCTGACATAATAATAATATTTTAACTACCTATACTCTAAATATATTAATTCTTATATTAAGTTTTAACTATTTTCTAGAAAAGATACTTATATATAAGCTTATATATATGAATAGTTTTGGTTATCCATAGGTAGAGTGCTCAATTTTCTCTGAGTGTACGGACGTGGGGACCCCAAAATACAAAGTACAAAAACAGAGTGCGCCAGTCGAGGGTCTGTTTAATAAAGCAGCAGACCGCGTCTATAAATATGTGGCCACCGCACAAAAACACACCGACTGACACGCAAACACACTTAATTAACTCGCTGGAGGGGGCGTCTGGGTCTCCAAAATATCTCCTTGGCCGTTCCACTTGCCGGCTCTTCAGGACCGATTCCCCGATTCCTCGATGATATTCAATTTGGCCAGCAGACGTACCCCGCCTCTTCTAACCGAAGTCAATGTCAAATTGAAGCTCCATTGCGGGCACAACCCTCGGGGGAGTTAGATGGAAAATACCGGCAGAAGTCAGGCGAACTGAAATGAAATGACTTTTGCCAGGACAACCGGAGGTGGACCCTGACAACCGATGAGGGCTGCTAGCCGATATTGATATCGACAGCATGGGAAACTTTGTGCTCCGCAGAAAGTGAATACCAAACTCGGCCAGCCAATAAATAATTTAATTATCAAAAAAAAAGAAAACAAATACCTTAGCTGCAATATGGTTTTGCGAAATTTAATCTGGAATTAACCTTCGATTGAATCAACTTTGGGGGTCGCATTAAACTTCTCATCTGTAACTTCTGGCGTTAATAATCATAATTACTAGTGCGCGAATGTTTCGCAGGCCAGCATACAAAACAAAGTTGATTTTTGCAAATTCAATTTGAATGCAGAAGGTGTGGATTATTCAATTAATTCAATTACGGCCGGCTTTCGCCACGTCCACGACAATTAAATGGGGCTTTTTATAAACGCTTTTGTGTCATTATTGATCACTACTGCAGCAGAATAGCTGCTCAGTGATTTATAAAATTTAATGTTTAATAGCATGCTTTTTTTTTCATGGAGATACAAATTTATTGTGATCGAAAACAGAACAGATCTAGCTTTTCAATTATTAAATTTCAGGCAAAACCTTTAAGTTTCATCAAATTCATAGCATTTATTTCGGTATTTCCTGCTCAAAACCGTTTTTTAACCTTCTTTTTTTCGACCACTATAAAATTCATAAAGATTTTCATAGGAGAAAATTATAATTTATTAAGGAAATTTATATTAATAGATATATTTTCTACCTCGGACCTTTTACCTGCATAGTTGCTGAATCAAAAAACGGGGCGTATGCGTAATATGCCCACTCCCCTTAAGGCGAAACTGACTTTTTAGGCCTAGCTTTGTTAGTTGTTGATGGAGGGGCTGGTTTTCGGGTTTAGCTGGAATGGACGCCCGTCGGTGCCAGGAAGACAAAGCAGTCATGTCCCGGCTAAATTGTAAAACAGCCTCGTGCGCTGACTTTGCACAATGC